GAACATGAGTTCATTCTGTAAAGGCTTGGAAGCTGTAGACGGTGTGGGAAACTCTTGTTAAAGGAGATAAATCAGTACATTTGGGAAGTTTACATCTGTCCTTGGGCTCTGCTGTTAGGGGTTGTAAGTGGACACTGCATAAACCCCTAAGGAAAATTGCTGACAAGAATATTTTGCATTAACACTGTTATGTAGCAGCTCCTGGCAACTAAAACACAGTGCCACCCGGACCAAAAGGACTTCTTCGAGAAGGTGCCTTCTGGTCTCACACTGAGAGCTCAATTCTGTGTAATTGCAACTGTGACACTGTGATCTTTACTAACTTAAAATCATGAGACTTTGGTCAGCAATTAGTAGTTTTTGCATCTTTGTAGTGTATCCGGTCGAAAGGTTAACTGCTGATACTGAGGTGGATTGACCTCTATTGAGGTCTACTTGCTTTTCGTGGTGCCTGGAGACTGTAGTCACAACAGCTGGGCAGCCCAAGTTCCTCATATTATTTAGTGGATTTACGTTTGTTCTTCACAGTGTTTCCACATGTGGGAGGGAACCTCTGTTACTTTCATTGGGTGATAAAGGGAACTGAAATGGAGGTCAGCTGAGTGTGCTCAGAATTGCAAAGCAAGTTCAGGAATGGAAGCTCCTGAACTGTAAAAAATGCTCACCTCCCTATGGTCTATCTTCTCTGCTGACAATCTCTGAACTGTTCAGTGACTGATTTTTATTCAGTTGTACATGGTGAGACATCTACCAGTTATTTGATCAATGAAGTTACCTTTGTTTGCTTCGGTTATTATGTCTGCAGAAAATTCATCAAAATTGTATTTAATGAAGAATACTAAAAACATAAGTCTGCTGTTATTACTGAGAAAAGCATCTGGTTGGATATTTTTCTGTCCAAAATGTCTTCCAAATTTCTTTCAAGGTTTTTAGTCACCACTTTGATCTGTTAGAGTGATTTAATTTTCTTCTTACAGTAAGAGAAACAGTCAAGATCATCTTATTTCTGTTTAGTTCTTGGATTATTATGCCTTACTGAAGAAGAGGAAGTAAATGGTTTAATCTGTGGTACAGATAAGTTGTGTAAAAAGAGGTGCAAGATTAGTTGTTCACAATGTTTTCCCTGCCTTCCTCCATTGCATATAGTCTCTCTGAAGGAAAGGTAAATTTACAGTTGTCTTCTGGTGCTGTAGAAGGCTGAGCAGACTGCTGCAGGAGGTGGAGGCTCTGCTGGATTTTAATGCTGAGACAAGCCTGTCCTCTTCTACAGATTTTGGTATGGTCTTTGACTTGTTTGTGGCACTTCTTTCAAAAAATCTTTCTACTTATTTCTGAAAAGATGCTTTGTTGTATATTGCTTTTGTTTTTTCATGTATGTAGAAAGTCAAGATTGCTAAAGGACATCTAAATAACTAGGCTGACTACTGTTAATGGAGCATTTTACACAACTGAATGATGTTCCAGCCTGACTATCTTCTACTTTCCTTTGATTGCATGGAGTTTATGGATGTGTGCACAGAAGCTAGATGTCTCATTAGAGCCTTACTGTCCTTACTTATGTCCAGAGTATCAAAGGTTCAAGGGAACCTCTCACTGGAACCTGAGCTCTCCACAGTGTGAGCACTGCACACAAGCATATTTCCCTGTTGTCCCTTTTTGTCCTCTCTACGAGGTCACTCTGCCAGCTGTCATGTCCTGAGAGTGACTTTTTTAAAATGGCACTTAATCCAGCCATGACACAGTGGCTGGAAAGGGATGTGTGCCATCAATGTATATCTTCCATAATGCAGAGAGGAGACAGTAGTTAAAAGCTGTATAGTTGGAGGAGACCAGGTCATATGCTGGTTCAAATTTTAATGTGGGCTTAGACTAGAGAGAAATCTTGAACTGCTGCAACTGTGTATTTCTGGCAGACAGCCAAAGGGAAGGGGCAGAAAGATTTTGGCAGCATTCATTAGAGGTCCTAAAGCAAGTAAGAAAAAGAAATGCTGAGTTACGTACCATAGTATGTAATCTATTTACTGAATTAGTTACAAGGTTATTAATTATAAATTTAAGTTACACCAAGAGAATAGGTAGTGGCAAATTAATAACCAGCTATATTCATGTATTCACACTCATCGCGGGAAGGGAATCCTAACTTTGTTTTTCTGGGATGAAGAAGACATTTTTCACAAACCCAGAATTCCTTGGATTTGTGAACAAACCTGAAGGGGAGGTGCATCCAGTAAAGGAGTATATGGTGCTGTAGGTGTGCTATATCAGATAAAAAATGTGAATAGTGAATATTATTAGTACTATTATAGTAGTGAATATACATAATGAATGGTGCTATGTTCAGGTGGAAGCTGGTGATGAGTAATGTCCCCCAGGGTCTGACCTGGGACCAGTGCTCTTCAGCATCTTCATCCAGTGAAGGGCTCAAGTGCATTCTCAACAAGTTTGCCAATGATGCGAAGCTGAGCAGGAACATTAGAAGGAAGGGATGTCATCCAGAAGAACCTGGACGAACTCAAAAGGTGGGCTTGTGTGAAACTAGTGAGATTCAGCATAGGCGCAAGGTATTACACTTAGGTCAAGGTAATCCCAGATGTATATACAGACTGGGAGAAGAACTCCTCAAGAGAAGCCCTGTGGAGAAGGATATGGGAGTCCTCATGGATGAAAAACCAGACATGAACAGCAGCATGCTCTTGCAGTTCAGAAAGCTGGTGGTATCCTGGGCTCCATCAGAAGAGGGGTGGCCAGCAGAGATAGGGAAGTGATTTTCTCTCTCCACTCTGCCTTCATGAGGCTCCATCGGGAGTACTGCATCCAGATCTGGGGCCCCCAATACAGGAAAGATGTAAAGCTGTTGGAGAGGGTCCAGTGGAGAGCCACAAAGATGATCAGGGGCACAGAGATGGTCACCTGGCTATGGATGCTCACTTTTCCTCATACAAAAATTAAAATGTGCCACCTAATTTAAAAAAAAAACAACAACCAACCAAACAAAACAACAACAAAACCACTGTGTTTAAATAAAATGTAAATACTTTTTCACATACCACAAAATTAAATATGTGGACTTGGTATGGGTTTTCTTTTGCTGAAAGTAAAAATCTCTCTAAAAAGCAAGTAGCATAATTAAATGGAAAGAGAGGAAGTGAAGAGTTGTTGCACCAGACAAAGCTGTGCTAAATTTTCTTCAGGATGTCCCAAAACTATGGAAGGCCAAATATGCTCATTGCAGGTCCTCACTTCATGTTTTTCTTTGTTCCTTTGCTCTCTACTTTGGCTCCTGCTCTTGGCCACTGTCAAAGAGCAGGTTTGGAACTACTTTGACTCTCATCCAATTCAGAGATTAGACTAAAAATCTGTTTTTATTTCCTTTTCAAACCTGGCATATAAGTTATTTAGGAAGGAAGGAAAAAAAATTCAAAACCAAAACAGATGTAAAAACTCAAACCCATAAGATCTATTTTCTTCATTGTCAAAGATACAGATACTTCACCTCCTTCATCCCTTTGGGGCGTCCGGATTATCCATACTCCTTTTTACATAGCAACCAAGCTTCTGTAAAAGAAAGTGCTGGGAACGAAATCTGTATATCTATCTTCTTCTCAGTCAGCATAGACTGACACGGGCTTTTAGTGTTCAAGAAAATTTGTTTTAATTTTGGAGCTGTTTCTGATGCTGTAAAGACTTTCAGAAGGGCCTCTGCCTTCCTATTCTGCTGTAATCTCCCTTGCAGAGCCTTGCTGTAGCATCCGGCTGCACCATGTGCATCACTCATGCTGTCTCTTTTGTTCCTGTTGTCTCTTTTTTGATCAGACAAAAAGCTTAACAGGAACTACCAATACTGAAATGCACGAGATGATCTGGAAGTGTTTGCCTAAGTGCTGTTATGCCCAAAGCCTTGTGTCATGAGGTGTTTGGGTCTGAGCAGTTGTTTCTAGTGGCAGAACAGCTCTGTAGGAGTGATGGTGGGATGGAGGAGCTTTGAGCCCTGCTTGAAATGTCGGGGACAGTGCGTAGGAACAGCACTGAGTCATGATGGCTGCGCGGGTGGACAGCAGTGGATAGGCTCTTTGTCTTCTCTTCTAATCTGCTTTCAGATGAGCTTGCCAAATGAATTGTCCATTCTGGTATAAAAGGAAAATAAATTTCTGCTGGTGGTGGATGAACTTGAAAATTAGCAACTTGACAATAGTGTAGAAAACACTGTCTCCCTAATCAAAAAAGATTTGGAGGACTTTTTTGAGACTCAGCTAAGCAGCTGCTCTCCAGTCACTGTGCAAAAACCAGAGAGATATCCTCAGTGTGTCTGAATGGGAAACTTTCTGCGCTTTTGCACAGACTTGCTATATTTAGCAGTGTGGAAGTGCTGGTAGAGTTATAACACCAGTTCTTGGTTTTTTTCCTTACTTGTTCAGTTTAACCACCAAGGTAGAATCTTGTCCTAACTTTTCACTTTCCTTCATAGAATTGGCTCAACATTGAACTACATTCCTCAAGTTGTTTGGAGATTTGCAGATGTAGTACCACAGTGAAGTGCCGTATTGAGGTGCATGTTAAAATAGGAAAAAATTACTTGGAAAAAAAGGATGTTTTTTTTACCAAGATTTCTTGAATCTTAGTGCTTAAATACTAGTATAAGAAGCCTATGTAAAATAGAGAGGGAGACTTTAATCACTAGACCACAATGACTCAAACATTTATGATGATGTATCACAAAAAGCTTTAATTCTCTTATCTCACTTTAGTATGACTGGCTGCTGATGATGAAAAGCTTAGATAGGGTGAGAGAGTGGAGGAATGTTAAAAGTTGTAGCTGGATAGAAAGAATGGGTAGGGAGCAACATTCACCCTTCTCACGCTGATAGATGGGTTGACTGCTGTGGTGTAAAAAAGAGAAAGAGGAAGTAGAAAATGCAACTGCTCTGCAACCTCAGCACAAAATGCTGGTGAGAAGCAAGCACGAAACTGAGGTCGGAGCACTTCCTGGTAAACATGTTGGCATTGCCGCATGACACACTTTGCCTGAGGGCCTGGGGGCTCAGCAGCTAGCTGCTCTCCTCATAACCTCACATAAAAAGTGTGTTGGGAAGGAATTTAATTTAGTTGATCTAAATGGTAGAGATGGTGTGTTTACACCTAGGGACAGTACCATTTCTAAACGCCGTTGCTTGGAAAATAAGTGTGCAAGCAAAAATACAGCAATAGGTCAGCCTCTTCTTGCTGCTATTTCATTAAAGGACTTTTTTCAAGTTAATATCTTGAAGGCAATTAATACATTCTACATTTCATATGACTGTTTAAGGACAGTATTTTACTTTTAAATGCAGCAGACCCCAGTGGATGACGAAATTCAGTGCGTTTTGGGTGAGTTACCTCCAAGTTGCTTATTACTTATTGATAAATTTTTGGCAAAGTGTTAAATGTGATAATAGATAGTTGCACTGGCTATTTATCTACTTGCTGATCTTACACTTGGGATGAAACATACTTACTTTGTGTTCTTTACAAGTATATAGGTGTGCTAGCCTTAAGAATTTTGGAGTACAACTTTATAGAGTGTATTCTACTGGTTAATTTTTCCCTCTCAAGAAAGGCATTACATTCAACAAATCCCACCTTATCCCAGAGATTTTTTGTATGAAAATTTGTATAAAGATCCTTGTTCCTTTTTCTTTCTGTGCAGCAGCAATATTATTACAACTGGAACTACAGAAGGATTTTATCAAAGATGAAAAGAAAGTGGTGGCATAAAGTTGTGCAGGAAATTACTTTAAGTAAATAGTAGGATTTAGAATTCTCTATATATGCTAAACTCCTTGGTTAGTATTAGTGCAATAAAACCATTGTATAATGTTTAACTTTGGTAATCATCTGTTTTCAAGTCACTTTAAGCAATTCTCTGGTCACTTTTCTGGAAACTGTTTAGTTTCTCTTTTCCAATAACAGCATCATTGAAAAGACAGCTAATATACTGCCCTCCTGTGAAATGTTTATTTTGGAGAACTCCAAAATAGAGATATCAGTGAATTTTCTTTGCATTCCTCTAACGTAGGTGATTACTGTATGCCTCCTTTGAAAGTGTGGAGGTAGAGCTGTGGATGTGTCAGTTCCAATCAAGAGGTGAGTCAGTGTCAGAGCTGGGTGGGAGCCTCTTAGTGCTTGTCTCCCCCCTCTCCCCCCACCCAGAGGCAGCCAGTCCATCAGCATTTTATTCTCAAGGTTAGAGGTAAATGCACAGCTGATTTCCCTGTAATTCTGCAAAATCATACCTCCCACAAGGTTGATGTGGTCCTGGGGAGAGAGGAATACAAAGCTGGAGTGATATGCATATGACATCTCACTATTCTCTCAACACCAGAGCGCTCAAGGTCTTCCTAGTTCTCTCAGCTTCAAATTCACCTAGTTATAAAACATGTTGAAACAGAAAAATACCTTCACAGAAGTTTACTGCTTAAGAGAAAAGCATTTTGGCTGTGGGAGTTGGTAGCTTTCTATCATAGATGTTAAGTGCCAGCAACAACTGGTTTGCAGGTAACAGTTGGGTATGGCAAGTATGAATCATACGCCTTGACAGAGATGCAACTCTTCCCACTTGTGGTCTCAAGCCTGAGACAGAAATCACACAACCAATATATACATACACGTTTTAATAAGTGATATATAATCTGCTTTCTGTGACTTTCCAGTACCTTTTCGTACCTTCATCAGATACTTACTTAGTTGAATAGGCAAAGGAAGGCTACAATGATACCTTATTTTCCCATCTGCTAAGAAACAGAGATTAACACAGTAATTTTAATTAAAAAGGCACAATATATAATGAGATGCTATTGCAAATCTGTGACTTGCAGCACTTTTTTTTCTTTTCTGATTCCTGTGCTTCTCCTCCCAAAGAGAAAATAAAAGTACCACGTCTCGAATTCTCAACCTACAGACGTTTCCCCTGTGCAGTATCCTTATGAAACAAATATGAAATCTGCTGTAGGAACATGATAGAGAAGTAGATTAATCTGTGAGCTGCCCTCATGTTCCTGGCACATACAGCTCTGGTTATTCTGCTTCTTCAATTGTTAGTTTCTTTGCATGAGCTTGTCAGACTAGTGAGAACTGGGAATTCCTACACAATGCCCTTTTCAAGTTTTTGTGTGTTCTTGTAGTCATGTTAGCATGAGATTCCCTGTGGGTCCCCAGGATTCCAGAAATCTCCCTTCTGCCTCAGTCTCCCCCACTCACTCCCTCAGACAGGAGCCTAGTGATTTCTTCAACATACTTATGCACAATTTTCAGCATCACTTTTTAACTCCTTGCATCACTCACCCTATTGAACTTTTTCTTCCTGTGATGCTCATCATCACTCAGAAGTTAGTGACAGTGTCTTACTCTTCACCTCTACTGTGTTTTAGAGAAAGCTAATAATAACAATAAAATTATCCTCTGCTATGTATATGTCAACCTAATGTTCCTGGAAATAACTTTATTTGCTTCACTCTGTACACAGTTGTTCACTATTTGCTCTGTTTCACAGAGTAATAATTTCAACTTTGCACAGACTTTCACACTCAATTTACTGGAGTGGTGATTTCCAAATCCCCTTCCTTCAGTCTGTCTTTTTTGTCACCTTTAACTGTTTGTTTCCCCTGCCTCCCTTGCTTTTAGTTCTTTATGACTAGGAAAGAGATGTATTTCCCAGTCTAAATAATAGTTTTGAAATATTTATGTTAAATCTCTTATCAGTTATTTATTACAAAGCTGCTTATATTTCAGTTCATTTTGATTCGAGACCTTTTTTCTGTCAATTCTTGATCACTCTCCTCACTGATATTTAGTCTCTCAATATTCTTTCTGTTAGATATTGTGATGATTATTTTACACTGTCTTCTACACAGGGCTGTGTCATTGATTCACACAAAAGCATTCCTACACCTATTATATTATTCACCATTCCCTGCCCTATTTATCTGAATATTTTGTTCTGTTTTTTGACTACAGCTGCACCTTAAGAAGAGGCTTTCTTTGAATGTGTTCTACTCCTTCTAAGCTGATGTTTTCAGCAACAGAGCCATTAAGTTAATCAGTTGAGTATTTTCCACTTCAAATGTTATTTATGGAAATTTAACAACAAAAATTCATACATTTAACTTTGTCTTACTGCTCATCTTCAGATGATACATTGGAGAGAAGTTTTTACAGGCAACATCTTTTGTGTTAGAGAAGGTGGAAAAATGAGTAGTAAACAGGAAAAAAAGAGAGACGAAAATATAAGTGTATTATTGTATTCTGAAGGAATAACTAGCTCTTCCCAAAGTTGATGCAAAATACCATATGCATGAAACACAAATACCAGTAACAAAGGTATAATGCATACGGTTACGTGGTTGACAGCTAAAAAGTAGATTTAAAGAAAAATGATTTACTTGTGCTTTGTAAAGGGGATTAAAAGAAGAGACAGAATGCTCGCAGCCTTGGTGGAAGCGCTCCTCAGATTTGTGTGTTTGAGGGTGATTGGTTCATTGGCTGGGTGCTATTGGAAATGTGGCAATTCCCTCTTGGCTATAGAAGTACCAGGTGGATAGCCAATGAACTCATTGCTCTAGTATATTCTCATCCAACAAAAAATTCATCTCAGTGGCAAAATATCTTTGTCTGGGTGCTCTGATATACTGAAAACAGTGCGTGTTACTCAGTGTGAACCAGATGTTCCAGCTACTCCCTATAGACTGATGTGACTCACCTGTTTTCTATGTACTTATGCTTCTGCCAAGACTAATAGAAAGCCTTATAATTATGACAACTGTCATTTGTGGCTTTAGCAAGGCTTAAATTAAATTTCTTCGGGGTGTCCTACAGGTGGCACTATAATTTCATCGTGTTGAATAGCAAAGCAGTCAGACCTCTGGGTGGTTCCTATATTTCCCTGTGGACTCTGGAATTTGCGTGCCACAGTAGAGAGATCTGAGGAAATCCTGTGCATCCCTAGACAGCACAACTCTGTGCTGCTTTGAAGAAACATGTCTGTAATATTTCAGAGTAGAAAGGAAAGTTCACTTCAAAGCATGAGACAATCTACCTTATTTCTAACAATGTTTGTCACTTTGAAGAAGATTTAACAGTGCACATTCAGTCTATTCTAGACTAATTCAATAGGTGAAATAGGCAAAGAATGGTGTAAAGAGCAAAATTAAAATTTAGGTTTTTATGCTACTGTTAACTGTTGATTTGTTCTGTAAGTCAAAAATGCATGACTGATACTACTGAAAGCATAGGCCAGAAAAGTACCCAAAACTACATGTCCTGATTATTTTCTTTGTCTCCTAGGACAAATTAACATGTAACTTACTGAAACATCTGCCCCATATTTTTTTTGGTAGGGCTGTTCATTTTGATTTGTCAGTACCTCAAAAAGGAAAAATGGGAAATAAAAATAGTTGGTGCAAAACTGTTAGAAGCATGTGCTCCTCTGCAGACCTTGCTGTCAGCCCCATCCCTATTTGGATGTTGTTTCCTGGGACACACCCTGTAGGTGACCCAGAAAAAAAGAACCGGTTGTGCTTCATGCCCATCCTTCCTTTTGTCCCAAGGGCTTTCCTCAGCATGTCTGGGCTTGGGCTGCCCTGCGCCCTCAGCACCTCTGAGTGCAGGGTTCTTCCCTGGAGGACACCTGGGAGAGCGACGCTAAAGGGGCACCTGAAGAATGGGTCAGCAACTGAGACTGTGCTGAGACTTGCACAGTGGGATTTGTTACAGAGAACCTATCCCATGCTCTCCTGTCTCCTACGATGCACTCAGAGCCTTTTTTCAGATGTATTTGATTCTAAGTTTTTAACCAATTTCTACTTGTGAAACAAAATGTTTAAAACTAGCTATCTGAAAATATTTCTTGTTTTTCTGTTCCATGTTCAATTTTACTTCTACCTAGCTTGGTTCCAGTGTTAATTGCTCTGATAAGCATGGCTTTTAGCGCTTACTTTGATGCCTGGCTTGTGGTTTACATAGTCATGACTTGTAAAAGACATACCAGTTTCCTCTTGGGCAACTTCGGCTTTGCAACCAATTCCTGTAAGAGTTTCCTCTCTGCTTCGTGAGGGATGGGAGTTGACAGGACAAGTGTGGCTCTTCGTCAGAATTCCCTCTTGGTAAGGCTGTGGCTTCTTTCTTTCCTTTTAAGTGATGGACGTAGTTGTTTCTGCCTACTGACATATATTTTCTTTTTTTTTTTTTTTTTTTTTTTTTTCCCTTTCTTCTTAAAGCAAAAAGACTGGTTTTAGTCAGTGAGAAGTAGCATTTACTTGGTGCAATAAGGGAAGTTCACACTGGCATGTAATTGCTGTTCTTTATAAATGGCTGGGTAAAAGATCTTATGCTTCCCCTTTTCCTCTGCTGTAGTTTAAAAAAGCAAATGGGTCACCTAAAAATTATGAATTCATCAGGAATAGTGAGTGTTTGTGGAGTGAGAACAAGTGTCAGGATGCGTATGAACAACTTCTACTTTGAACAACTTCAATTCAGTCATGTTTCAACGAGATTCAGAAAAGCTCAGGGTGACAGCGTATATCATTGCATCAAGCAAATCAGAATCTTTGTTCCGAAGAGAAGCATTCAATATGGGAAACAGCAGTTCCTTTACTGATATTAGCTTCTTAAAATTGTACAAAGCTAGTATCATTTGTAGAGTATGTACTGTGCAATACAGGGGTAGAATGTAATGTTTTGTGGTGACAGTGCTGGGTAGATTGAGTTCTGTTTTCAATATGAAAAGATCTTGGAATACATTAATTTTAATCTTTTTGTCATAGACATGAATAGATGCAGTAAAGATGCAGAGAAAGTACTATGTGAATATGTTCACTCTCACTATGAAAAATAGGACATCTGGAATTACTATCTTCTGTCCTTTGCCCTGAAACACAAAACCCAAAATACTGACTGTATCTCTGGACTCCAGTTTTCCTGCACAGAACACTCCTCTGGTGGAAGCTGAGATTAACACTTTGTTTAATCTTTTCCTTACCTGTTTGCTTTCAATAAGTCCTTTTTAGGGTGTAGGTTTAAAACTTTTTTTTTTTTTCTTTTCTTACTGAGGTCAGTTATATTAATTGCAGTCTTCAGAAGGCTCATTGTCT